GTTAAGATTGATATATATGGGGATATATTTTGTTTATGTGTATAGAAAATTGAAGTTCTAAATGTCTCATATTCTTAGTATTCCCGATTATATTCGTATGTATAGGTTCTTATATGTGTATATATCTTATAGTTGTATACAAGATATAAATGCATGTAATGTAGAAAGGGTCCTCCAAAACTGAAGTTTTAAACGTCTCATGGATGAAGCGAAAAAAGTTCTTAGATTTCGAATTTGGGAGATTTTTGGACGAGATTTGGAGATATTTTGGGAGGTTATGATTTCAATTTTGGGGAATTTAGGGTTTTGTTTTAAATGTTTTGATGTTTTAATTTGTTTTGGAAAGTATCATTAACCTAAAATTATGGGATCTAAATTGTAACCTTCCAATTAATCAATTTTGCATATTAAAATGAATTTAAAATTAATTTGTAAATACAAGAGGCTATTTAAGTAATTTATATGATGGGTACCCTCTTAAATAGGGTTGATACATGACAAATGTGTAAATTAATTATATACATTCCATCCTTTTATGTAATTAGAAACTTTAAATAGTCCATCAATGTACTAATCCCTTTTTAAAGGTATAAAAAATCACTTAAGAAGCTATATATTAAAAGCAGTTTATATTAATAATTTTTAAAAAAGTACTTGTATAAAAAGTAACTTTTTTCTTTAAAAAAAACATCGGAAACACACGCTAAATCTTTCATTACCATAGAAACAATTTCATCTAATCCAAATTCTTCCTAGAGATCTTCATTTTCACAATATGCTAATTATGTAATGAAAATTTCATACAACTCTTCTACGACTTCTAGCAATTTTTTCTAGTATCTACAATTTCATTTATTTCTTTTAACGTATTCTCCCGTGCAAGTTGCTCCTTATCTTCTCTTGATAAGATATATACATATGGGAGTCTAGGTCTGGTGAAATTTTACGTTGACTATCTTGTCCTTTCACTCGGTAAAATGTTCTCTTATCTTCTTACCAGTAGCATACTCAAAGAGTATTGATAAAATATCAATATCCACAATTGGATGTTTGTAGAGTGCTCGGTAGATTAGATCCCATGTTCTTTCCACTGAAGATGTCAACTTTTTTTTTTAATATTTTTACTATTTATCATTTCTTTCTGTGAATTGAGAAAAAAATTGAAAATTTTAAAATATTGGAAACTTTTTTTTTTTTTGAAAAAATAGGAGAAAGAAGGTGCATGTTTGACCTAAAAACAATGACCAAGTTATTTGTATATTTAAATTTTATCATTAAAATGTATAAACTTGTATATTAGGTAGAAAATTAATTATCTTGGTTGGAGAATAAAAACTACCTTAGGTTAGATTTTAAAAATAAATTACCAGACAAAGAAATTTATTGTTATTAAATGGGTCTATAATTAAATATATTATATATATGTGTTCATTTTTATTTATTTATATATATTATTTTTGGTAAAATTTTAAAATTATTTCTAAACAATGAGAAACAAAATTAAATTTTTTTCTAAATAGAAAATTTAAACAAAATTGTTAAGAGATGAAAATTTTTAGTTGAAAAGAAAGATCAAAATAAGTTGTAATTGATAAGATTTTGCCCACTACAACCTCCTTCCAAACCCATTATAGCAAAACCACTTCCTAAATTTTTTATTTTTATTTCCAACAGAACTTGGTGTTGGATGATTTTGATTATCCATATTTGTAGTGTAGGTGAGAAAAATGAGTTAATCCATCACCATCACTTTTCAACCATTCCCACTTGCAAGCTTTTGACATTAATTTGAGTGGAATTGAAAGTATTTAAAAAAAAACCTTATTATTAAAAATGTCTCTTTTGAGTATTTTCAAGTAAAACTACTTTTAAAGGCTTAGAATTACTACTTATCTAAAATATTTGTGTTTGACATATTATTTAAAATTGCTTTCTACGAAAGTGAAAAAATATCTTGATTTTTTTCGAGATACAAAAGGATAGATCAACAAGATAAAATAAGGGCATAGGTGTAAAGAATTCTATAGAAGGGTATTGGGATAATTTGAAATTTTACAGACTAGTTTGTCCTTAATTTATCTAATTGATATATTTTTTGCACCAACGTTGTCATGTCATTGTCAAATCTATCATTAGTAAGTCCAATGAGCATCCGTGTTGATATTTCAACAATTTTATTAATAACAAGAACTTATTCCAAAAAAAAAAAGTTTAAGTTGTAATTTGAAACTTGGTTATATTAGAAGTTTAGTCTGAATCTTCATAATTATACTTAATAGTCTCTAAATTTTAAAAAATGTACAATAATTCTTAACTTTTTTTTACTTATATCAAATAAGTCACGCATTTATTAGATACAAAATAACAAATTCATGGATCTTAGACACTTTTAAAATTGAAAACGGCCATTACTGATTGTGATTACTCTGAAGTTCTAACAAAACAGGACCCAGTTCCATTTTCATTTTTCATACAGCTTTGATTGAATGAATCCCCCCGGCCCCGGTAGTTGAATCAAACACCCGCTACAGCCTAACATCTAATCCACACAAAATCAAGGAGGCAGATCAAATTTTCAGTCCAAATTTTCCAATTCCTTCCACCATTTGAATCTGTGAGAACCCCCTTTTTCCCCTTTCCATTTCCATTTCTTCCATTGAAGCAACCCATTTCTTCTCTCCCTTTGAAGCCACTCTCTTCCCTTTTTTGCCTTTCATCTTAAAAGAGAAAGTCCTTTTCTCTGAAACCTTCCCAGAAAGTGATTTCTGATTTCCCCTTCGTTCATATACAGATTTAAAGAGCGAGAGAAGGGAAAAAAGTTAGTTTCTGTGGGAATAAGAGCAATGGGTAGTCGAGATCTGGAGAGAGGAGGAGCTAAAACCAGTAACCCACCTGGGAATTACTCGAGCCCGTATTACCAAGACAGCTCAGAGAAGCAATGGACTTCTTGGTTGGTTCCTATGTTCGTGGTGGCTARTGTTGCTATGTTCATTGTCGTTATGTACGTTAATAATTGTCCCAAGCACAATCTGGGTTCTTCTGAGGAGTGTGTTGCCAAGTTTCTTGGAAGGTTTTCGTTTGAGCCCCTTAGAGTTAACCCTCTGTTTGGCCCCTCTTCTTCTACGTGAGTTTTCTGCTCTCCACTTGTTTCTAAATTGTTCAATTTTTCTGTGGTTTTTCTTTTCTATGGACTCTGTGTTTATTTGGCTTGAATTCTTCATTGAGGATGTTTCATACTTGACTTTTGGTCTTCTTCATCAATTGGGATTTTGGGGTACTGAGATTTCATTCACTTTTTTTTTATGGAAATCTTCTGAATCACTGTGTTAGTTTTCTTTAAGTTTCTTGTTTGTTAATTATCCTGTTTGGGTTTCAGATAATTGTGTGTCAAATGTATCTCCATTAATGGTCAAATTTCTATGATGGCTTTGGAGAACTGGATCAGGGGTTATCGAACGACGTCGCTTTATCTGTAAATTGTTCTTTTTAGAGACATTTTCCTTGGGGAAAGTTCTAATCTGTTCTCTACTTTTGTGCTTTGGAGAAGCTTCTCCAAGGATCCCTTGAATAGTACAAAATTTTCCTAGGTTTCACTTTTCATCTCTAAAACTAATTATCTTATTAGATAACTGTTAGCATAATTTTGGGAAAATCAACGGAGATTCGAGAAATAGCCCTCTCGAAAGGCTCTTATAATATTGTAATTTCCCTTTGATATTGAAATTGTCGTTTTCCTTTGTGGGTCTGTTTCTAAGATTTTTATTAGTTAGGTGTTATTCTTCTAAGTTGGTGCTCCTTTCTCCAGGTGGACTTTCTTTTGTGAGGCTGATTTTTTATATGCCGTTGTTATGTATTCTTTCATTTCTCTCAATAAAACTCGGTTTATCATTAAAAATAATTAATAATTTTTAGAAGAATGACTTGTGAACAATTGAAAGGATGAATCCCATGTTTCAACGTTTGTTAACTTGTAGCTCCTTTTTTAAACTTTTGTGTGCCCCTGACTCTTCCCTGCTGGCACAGCTTTTGCCTCACTTTGGAAAGTTAAAATTCCAAAGGAGATCAAGGTTTTTGTGTGGCAGGTCTTACTTGAAAAAATTAACACCCTGGACCATATTCAGAGGCACTCTTTGGTTTGTTTGGGGCCGCATTGGTGCGTTCTCTGCAAGCAAGAATCAGATGATCTTGATCACATCTTATGGCATTGCACTTTTTCTCAGAACATTTGGAGTTGCTTCTTTAGGACTTTTGAGGTCTCTTGGGCTCGTAATAGAGATTGTGGAGCTATGGTGGAGGAAATGCTTTTAGCTCCTCCTTTTCGTGAGAAAGGAACGTTTTTGTGGCAGACTTGTTTCTTTGCGATATTATGGGGGATTTGGTTGGAAATGAACAATAGGATATTTAGGAGGGTGGAAAGAGATGGAGAATCGGTTTGGGACCTAATTAGATTGAATGTATCTATGCGGGGCTCTGTTTCGAAGTTCTTTCGAAGTTGTTTTGTAATTGTTAGTTAGGTTTGATTCTTTTGGATTGGAAGCCCTTTCTTTAGTTAGGGTTCCCCCTCTTGGGCTGTTGTTTTTGTGTGTCTTTGTTTATGTTTCTATTTTCATTTATCTTAATGAAAAGTTCGATTTCTTATTTAAAAAAAATGACGATCTTCGACATTGATTTTGTGCATTTAAAGTTTCTATTTGCTTATTGCATTAATTCAGCCTTTTCTTTTCCTTTTGTGAAAATAACACATTTTAAAACCATAAAAGCATCATATCAATATGAATGGTCTAATTTATTTCAGGAAGAATGCAAAGAATAATGTGAAAATACTTTTTAGATACTGAGTTTTTATTTTAACTTCATCTCTTGCAGACTACAGAAACTGGGAGCCCTGGAATGGGATAAAATAGTTCATGGACATCAATCATGGAGACTCATAACTGGTATTTGGCTCCATGCTGGAGTCATTCATTTACTTGCAAATATGTTGAGCTTGGTATTTATCGGGATCCGCCTCGAACAACAATTCGGATTTGGTACGTCACGTGTCTTACTCATACCATGGTCTATATTTTAGTTAATTTTCAGATCCATTCCATTTTGACCCCTGCACTTTCTAAAATGTCTATTTTAATTGTTGAACTTTTATAAAATAATAATTTGGTCTCTGAACTTCTATAATGTCTATTTTAGACCTTGAACTTTCAAAACATAACCATTTTGGTCATTGTTATATTATTTTGCCCCCTAAAATTCACTTACCCAAATACTTGCTTTGAACCTATCTTGTTAGGATGCGTGCTCGTTAACACATTAGTATACATACTCGAAGTTGGGGGACTAAAATGGTTACTTTTATATGACTAAAATAGATACTTCAAAAGTTCAGAAAATAGAACAAACTTGGAAGTTCATGGGTCGAAAAATTAGACATTTCAAAAGTTCAGAGATCAATGGAATAATCTTGAAGTTCGGGAATCAAAATAAGATTCAAAACTTGACTTCATTTCTCTTGAACTCTTGAAGTTGGGCTCTTAGAAATTTCCATGCACATTGATTTGTTTCTCGGTATAATCGAGCAGTTCGGATCGGAATACTCTACTTGTTATCGGGATTTGGTGGAAGCATACTATCTTCTCTTTTCATCCAAAACAACATCTCTGTTGGTGCATCTGGTGCTTTGTTTGGGCTTCTTGGAGCAATGCTATCAGAACTTTTGACAAACTGGACTATATATACAGATAAGGTGAGTTGAAGACACAAACGATGTGTTGGTGACTGCCTTATTTGAACTTAAAATTTGATGACATTACAGTTATCAACAGCTGATTCATTGTTCTTTCAGGCTGCAGCTCTCATTACACTCATTGTCATCATTGTCATTAACTTGGCGGTCGGGATTCTTCCTCACGTCGACAACTATGCACACATTGGTGGCTTTTTGACAGGCTTCCTCCTCGGCTTTGTTTTGCTTCTCCGTCCCCAGTTCGGGTGGATGGAACGACGACATCTCCCAGCTAACTCACGAGCTGTACCCAAGCACAAGGTTTACCAATACATTTTATGCTTGGTGGCCCTCGCTCTTCTAATTGTCGGGTAAGTGTGTCACTTCTTTCCAAACTCGGTTTTCGGAAGATCGAATCTGTAGGAAGAGGATATCCATCTATCTAGAATCAAGAATCATACATCTAAGATATGGATGGAACTCTGAAGATGACAATAATTCAGCATGTACAAAATTTTACTGATTGATGAATAATGTATGTTATGTTGTTCTGTTTTGTTGCATCTTCTTGACAATTAATGTTGACGAGAGACGAAAAGAAAACTCAGTTACGGTCTTGTTTCGTTGTTGCAGATTCACAGTCGGGTTGGTGATGCTATTTCGAGGTGAGGACGGAAACAACCATTGCAGCTGGTGTCATTACCTAAGTTGTGTGCCAACATCAAAATGGGAATGTGGGAACTGATTACAACACAATTGTATAATATTGTACACTTTTCTGACCCTTGTTTTCCATATTTGTTTTGATTTCTCTTCTTAAATTGTCTATGGGTGCCTTTGTTCATGATGCCATATATTTTCTCTCGTTTTTCTTACTTGAAAGAACACTGTATGTAGAAAAAAGAGTGAGATCATTTCTGTTTGTGAACTCTCTATTGTTTATATAGAGGATCACTTCATTCTTTCATGCATTCTATTTGTATTTTTACTTGGATTTCTAATTATATCACTTCAGACTATAGGAGTTCACGGGTGGGGACGAGGAGGCCTCCTCCGCTCTCATTTTAATTTCTATCCCGTAAAATTTTTCACTATATATCACGGAGATTGGAGCGGAGTTTCGAGAATTATTCTTTCACTCATTATTATTAACATTTGCTCAATTAAATTAAATTTTAAAAGAAATTTCTAATTAAAGGCTTAATTCTCAATGATGAATCTTCCAAAGCAAAAATGGTTAAACCACCCTATAATATTTCATTTTAGTCCAATTATTCATACATATAAATATAATGGGGTAGGGCACGACTAGGAACGTATTTCACGTCTTAGTCTCTATTTAGGTAACGAGAACAAAATGTCCTCCATCCTCGTCCCACGAAGAGCCTAAATGAAGATATATCTCTCGGATTTAAGGTATGTGACTATTACGAGGTTTGAACTCATTTTCTTTTAATTAACTTTGATCTCTTTGAACCAATGAACCACCCTATGGTGATTATGTTATTCATCTCCTCAATCAAAAACTTTAAAAACGTAATTGCAAATAACAAATGAACAATGCCTCAGAATACSATCACGATGTTGATCCTTATAAGCAAGATCTATCAAACAAAGAATCTAACTTTTATTCTAATATACTGTTGTGATATGAAATTAGTAAAAAGTAATACTTGACAAAATGAATTTTAACCCCCATTATCAAATAGGTAAAATCAAGTTTTTTTTTTTTTTTTTAATACAACATGTGGAGTGAGGATTTGAACTCGTGACCTTTTGGTCCGAGATAGATACCTTAATCATTTGAATTAGGCTCGATTTGGCATCAAACTTAAAATTTTAATTAAACCAAATTCAATTTTAAACTTAAATAAATAGTAAATTTGATACCTTTTTTAATTGAGTTTTCAATCTCGCAAAGGTTTGTGCCGAGTCATGGATGTCCTGGTCGACAAGACTATTTTTTGGGCATTAGTTTTTTTCTTCATAATTATTTTCATTAGACATTTATAAGATTACATTTAGGCGTATTTTTTTTCAAGTTATTAACCCTAACTCCAACCTAGGGGTGAACATTAGTGTAGACGAAACTGACTCTACCGATTGAACTGACGTCGGTCGCTCGATTTTGACGATATAGGATTGGTCGATCGGTTTTTAATTATAGGGGATGGTTGGTCGGTTGGCAGAAAAAATCCCATAAACTGCGACATTTATGTTTAAAAGAAAATTATATTTTATATAATAATAACAATAATAATAATAATAATAATAAAAAAAAAGTCGTTGAACTATTTTTAATAAATCATATGTGTCTTGACTCGATATTTAGGTTTGCTAAATATTTATCCCTTATTTTCAAAAAGGCTCTAATTTTATTATTATTTTATTAACTTTACAAAGGAGTTATGAGTTTGAGTTTGGACTTTCACATCCTTTTTAACCTTAAAAAGAGATTTATCTTTACGGAAGGGGCCTGGTTAGGAATTTTTTAATACAATAAGGGTAAAGTTGAAAATTTTAAAAGATTTAAGGACAAATTTGAATCATAAATATTAGTCTTTTTAAATAACAAAATTGAGTGATTTGGTTGGGTTATTAAAAAGGGGAAGAGAACAAAAATTAGGGTTAGCATTTGGGTGAGCAGCCGAATTTCTATCCCTCTGTTTCCCTCTCGGCTCTCCCACTCGATATTAGCTTCCCTTCTCTCCATCTCTCTCTCTCCCTCATCTCCCAGTTTCAAGTTCCAGCCACTTCCGTCGCACCGCCATCGCCGCCGTCGCCCGTCGCTCAAAACCCCGACCAAGTTCCTTTCGGCGCTCCTTCTCTCGGTCACACAAATGAGACCTCCTCGAGGTAAAACAGATTGCATCTTCGTGTTTTTTCTTTCTTTTACTTGACTATGACTTTGTCTTTGTGGGTTTGCCGCTCCACTTAACTTTCGGCGCAATGCTACCTCTGCTTGTTTCCAGTTTACTCTGTTTTTTAGCGTTGCATAGCTTTCGTGTTCTTTCTTTATTTTACTTAGATTATCTTATTTGGAGCGTCTGTTTTGTATTGTCTGGGTTGTTAACCAGTCGGTTGAATATTAGTATCTGAGTGATTTATTGTTCTTAGTATCTGTAGAAGTGATTTGGTTTCAAGCTGGATTTTGCACCTTCCATCTCCCTACACAGTTCACGCAATGATTAAAATAAATTGTCGGTTTTGGCGAAACCAGCGATTATATATTATTTAATCAGATGGGATTTCGGCCTAAAAACTGACTCGACCGATGAACACCCCAAAATTATATATTTTAGAGCTGTTGTGGATGTAATATTAGATTATTATTACTTGTAATTCTTACTGTATAGATGTATTTCTTTATTTGTCAACTTTTACCATCAAATATAATTTTCTTATTCAAGTAATATGTTTGATTTAGACAATATTCGAATAGAATCAAAATGCACCCTAGTAAATATAAAGAGTTGCTTGAACATACGAGTTAAGGAATTAGAAAAATTAAGAGTGGAGTGAATAAGGAAGAAGGCAATTGAACCCACTTAATTTATTAGAATTAAAAAAACATTTTTAAATCCTTAAAATGTTTTAGTTATTTTATGCTCTCTGATTTTTAAAATTTGAGACGTGTGTATATATATACAAAGTAAGCATTTAATAGTTTTTCATTGTTTAAGAAACTGTGTGGGTTTGCCGCCGCACTTATACCACATGCTAATCTAAACCACCTATAATTAGATCAAACATGTTCTTATTATATCGCTAATCGGTTGTTTCATTGTTGGTTCCAACTCTTCAGTTTACTCTGTTTTTTAGCGTTGCATAGCTTTCGTGTTCTTTATTTATTTTACTTAAATTATCTCATTCGGAGCGTCTGTTTTGTATTGTTTGGGTTGTCAAAAGTTGAATGACTTGGATATGTGCAGGCCGCGGTGGTGGTGGTGGATTTAGGGGCAGGGGTGATGGAGGAAGGGGCGGTAGAGGCAGAGGTGGTGGAGGTAGAGGTGGTGGTGGAGGCAGAGGTATGCA